AATTTTGATTAAACTGCGAATATGTTCAAGAGAAATTTGGTACAAGTGATCGTTGGGAAGAGTTAGTGATTTGCGTCCTCAGCAGCATCTATAAAATCAATAAAACTGAATATTATTGCTATTAAATGAAAGCTAAAGCCACTACTAGATTTAATACAGTAACATTATAGTATTTTAGCATCAGTGAATACTAAAATAAATTACATGATGAATCAGTTAAGTGTCAATATTAAAGTCTTATACCTATACATTAAAACTTTATAGGAAAAAAGCATTAATTGTGATTATAAAAATAACAAGAAAACAAGAGAATCTATGTTAATTGTAATTAGAGTTGTAAATTTACAGCAAATTTTAATTTTATATAAGGTAAGTTATAAGTATATAACTTACTTATAAGTATGTAAGTTAAATAATATAATAAGACTGTATACTATAACTATAATTTTTGCTAAAAAAATAATTCTCTAGAACTAAATAGATTTAATAAATAAAAGTTAAATTTGTTAACTTTCAATAATCTAATTTAAATAAAAGTTTTTATTTATTTTGTAAAGCTTAGTAGTTTTACAATTTGCATAGTTCTAAAGAAACAAGTTTTTATTACATCATATATATATAAATATATATTAATCTGATTGGTTATTTATTGTACATATTATAGTAGGTTGTTGCTCAATTCCCCGAAAGCTATTTACCTGACAGGCTACTTACCTGACATCACATAGGGTTAGGGTTAATATTTTATTAGCTGTAGATATATATTTTTAGCAATTTGTCACCCTTGTGATGTCGGGTAAGTGGCCTTTCGGGTAAATAACTTTTGGAGAATCATACCATAACTATTATAGTATATATAATAACTTATTATATATTTCAAATTTTGAATATTATTTACATATAACTTACATATAAAGTAAGTATGCAAGTTACAACCTTACAACCCTAATTGTGATTATTAAAATAACAAAAAACAAAAGAATTCGTATTCAGTAATCTGCTATTAGCCCAAAATGCTCAGACAAGCAACTATATAAATAATTATTAACTCTATTAACTCAAATTTCAAAAACAAAATTATAAATATTAATATAAAAAAAATTGAATTGTAGGTACTTTGTATGCAAATAAAAAGGTATATTCTGTTATGTGATAGTTATTGTAGAAAAAATTTTATACCAGATATTTAAGTCCTTCACTCACAAGAATACCTGCTAGAGATTGGTATTGTAATAAGTATGAAACTAGAAATTTAAAAAGATCAAAACATAAAATATGACTAAATTAATCAAGTTCTTATAATGCTGAAAAGCAAATTTCAAAAAAAAAGTAAAAAAAAGATCACAATTAAAAGTAAAAAAATATAAGGAGCAACTAAATACTTTGAATTCTGAAGATGAAAATAATTAATATATAAGAGAACTTTCAAAGAAAATGAAATCAAATTGATATGAAAGACACAAAATATTATTAGATATTTTGGATATCACGTCAAAATTTTGATTATATTTTTATTATTATTATATATAAAAAATTACGTGTAGAAAATTACATCTTTAGTACTAATAAATACTTTCATTATTTTTCTATTTTTTAAAATTTTTATAGTTTTTCGCAGAATTGTAATCCTTCACTGATAGGTAGTGGCCATAAATCATTAAACTATATTTTAAATTGAAGTTGTTGCATACTGTAATTGCAATAATAAGATATAGAGTTTTCATATAAAACTTTCTACTTTATTATACCAAATGAATAGATATCTAATAATTTAGTATATAGGTTACGAAATAAAAAATATCTGGATTGATATATGGGAAGTCAAAAGTATAAACCACCCAATTTGTTTTTAATAAGTTTTTTTAAAACTTTTAATTAAAATATCTTGACAACTATTAAACCAAATCTAATAAATTTTTTTTATTTTAATTCTATAACTATATAGAATTAAAATAAAAAAAAATTTGTCAGGTTTGGTTTAATAGTTGTTAAGATATTTTAATTTAAAGTCTAGAAAAAATTTACTTAGAAACAAATTGGGTGGTTTCTACTTTTGACTACCCATATGGCAATTTTCCAATAATGCTATCTCTCCTTTTTTCAAAATTAGAAACAGGAAGTCCTAGACCTGCTATATATGCACTATATAATGTTTTGCAAAATGGTAGTATTAATTTGTAACTCTAGTAAATATAATTTTATTAGAACTAATTCATTTAATTCTGGTAAATAGAATTTTAGTAATTCTGGGCAAAATACAATTCTAGTGCTAGTAGAATTAATTTGTAACTTTGATATACATAACTCTGAATAATATACAAAAGTTACATTTTTGATGCAATATATTTATTAAAATCAAGAGAGTAACTATGAACTTTTGTTGCATGTGACAAAGTTCGAAGTTATTCATTTGATTTTAACAAAAGTATAATATCAAAATTGTAATTATTGTGCAGTGCATGGAAATAGATAATTGATATCAGAAAAGTTGAATGATTGTCAACCCCTTAATATGATAGTTGATAGAACACCCCATTACAGGCAACAAATAGTAACACTAATGTTGCATGGAATACTTTAAACATACACCTTTTTATGAAGTAGTTATTTAGCTGGCTAACTGCTCATACGAATTTTCCTGTAAATTACCAAGATGCTATAAAAGATTTTAAAAATGGCATTACAGACTTATATAATGAACTTGAGAAGAAGCATATATTTAGATGATTACAGGTCAGTGTCATTTCGTTTAATTGCAAATTTTTGTTGAGTTGATGAAAATTTTTGTAGGTTGCAATAGAACGCAGGAAACTGGAGTGACAAAATCTCTTTTATTTTTAAAAAATGGTCATGAGCTTTACAGTTCACCAACAGAACCACCCGTTTTTATCTCAAACAGTTCATGGTCATGAGCCTTACAGCTCAACCAACATGCCATCACTTTAGATAGTTCATGGTCATGAGCCTTACAGCTCAACCAGCACGCCAGCCTTTTAGTTAGTTCATGGTCATGAGCCTTACAGCTCAACCAGCGAGCCGTCCTTTTTCCCTTTTTGATAGTTCACGGTCATGAGCCTTACAGCTCAACCAGCTAACCGCCCTTTTAGATAGTTTATTTTACTTTGACGGTGATATTAATTTGACGCATAACATATACAGTATATGCATTTCATTTATGCTAGACAGTTTAGAATTGTAAAAAGAGCTACTCATTTATTAGTAGAATTTCCGCAGCTACATCCTAGTATTTTACCTGGAGTATTGTTGACTGAAGCAAAATATTTTTAGGGTGTTCTCAAGCAGCACGTTCGATGTGATTAGCTAGTGATTGTGAAAGTGCACAACCATTATAGTAATATTTAATTAGGTCATTGTTGAATTCCAATAGCACAAATGGTAGTATAATTGAATTACGCTCATGTATCTTCCTCAATGTGATTAGTTTATGATCGTGATGATGCTCAAGTATTATGATAAATTAAAATATTAATTGCAATTGATGCTTGAGCAAACGTTTTTATCATTATTACCATTTAGTGATTATTATATTTGAAATTAAAAAATAAAACCGATGAATTAACAAAAAAAAATATAAAAACACCATTTTCAACAATTCCAAGTTTTGTTTCTTCTTTTTCAGACTTTACTAAAATTAACAATAAAACAAAACGTCGACTCCAACAATTTCAGTTCCTGCTTCCTCTTTTTCAGACTTCACAAACTTTTATGTTACTGCACAACAAAAAATGTCCAACCCAACTTTTCTGAATCCTATTGCGACAAATAAATCAAATAGAGAATCCGAAGAAGTAATCAATATATAAACAAGTTTTTTTAATATATATATATGTTTTTCTGTAATATCAATAAAGTAATAATACGTATATATTGTAATACGTATATAGTAATACGTATATAGTAATACGTATGTAGTAATACGTATGTAGTAATACGTATATAGTAATAATTCGTTGCACTAGTAACGATTTTTAAGATCCATAATACAAAGAGAGAAGTACTTAAACAATTAATTTTTCTAATCAATCAATGAAAAATTTCAGTCAATAAACACAAACCTATGAAAAAAAGGATGCCTGAGCCTCATCTCTTGTTAATTGGAATGATAAATACCCTTGATCTGTTAAACAATCTTCTGCTAATTAAATTTTTCTCTCTGACGTATTAAACTACCATCGCATGTTTTATTCATTGGAATAATAAGTACAATCGAGTTCGTTAAACTATTTTTTATTAATTAAAATTTACTCTCAGATTCATTCCGACAGATTGACTTAGGAGCTTGAGAATACCCTTAGTCTCGTTATTTGAATTCAGTCCCAATCCTGTAATTACAATAAAATCAAATTTTATTCATCTCGGTTAGAAACTTTAATCTTTGAAAAAAAAAATTAATTTCTTTAAAATACAATTAAGAAATTTTTTAAAAAAATGGTGCTGACTTCAATGGCACCTAAAGAAAAATTATCGAGATAATGTGATAACAAAAAGACAAACTTAAAAATAATAAACGTCGAAATAATATGACGAAAAAAGACGAAACAAAATAATAGCTTTAGAAACTTATTCTAATGATCAAAATTTGCTTATATTACTATTTGAATTACATAATTACAAATTTAACTAACGATAGTATAAAACGGCTAGGATTCATCGACTTTTTTATTATTTTATTGGATAACTGGATTATTGTTTATACGAGAGGATCGCGCTAATCAAATTATGAATAATGCATGTCAATTTTGTTAAGACTATGGGTGTTCTCAGGCGCCTTAATCAATGAGTCAAGCGTGTTTATCATTAAGATGAATATGCATAATTTGATAAAGCTTATTACGTAAATGAAATTTTTATTAATAAAAAATATTGAAATGAATGTATCATTTAAATCAACAAACTTTTTACAACAAACCACCTTTTTTT